AATATATATATATATATATATATATATATATACACACACACATAATTTTTTAAGCGTGCAAAAATAACTTAACTACATTAGTACATGAAATCATGAGAGAGTAGGTTATCATGTTATTTCAAAAACTCCTACTATAAATTAAATTGCGTTAGAATTATAGGGCAATTTCATATTTATATTTATAGCACTCAATTTTTGAATACCAATTAAATTTTTATCATTATTGTTTTTTTTTAAAAGTAAAATACTTCTTTTCATCATCACATTATTATGAATATAAAAATAAAAGATGTTAGAGATATAAATTTGTACGATTTTTGTGATTTGCATGTAAAGTTTTTTAATTTTTTTTTTATTAATATTACGTGGTTTAGTGTGGCTGAAATATTGCAGTTTTCAAAGGGCTTTCTTCGGAGCCTTAAAATCTCACATTTTTTTTTTAACTAATTGAACGAGATAACACAAATTTGATAACTTATTGTAAACCACAAATTAAATAAAAGCAATGATTTAAATAAAATGCAGATTTTTTTATAACTGTTTCCTTATTATTATTTGCAAAATAGAAAAAGCCAAAGCCAAGAAAGTTATGGAGTGGCTGAGCACAAACTACTGTGCCGGCCCGGGCAGCGGACCGGCGATTCGGGCTTCTTTAAAAAAAAGAGAAGCAGCGTAAAGGAGGCCGGGGGCGCGCCGGTGGTGGCTGCTAATTAACGTGGAGTTTGCGGTGGCTGCGGAGGGGACGTAGGTGGGGGGGAGACTCGCTCGCAGGAAGAACAAATGGAGAGTGTGGTGGGGGGGATCTGAATGTGGAAGGATTTGATGGCACGAAGCTCGGCGACTTCTTTATGGAGGCGGCGGTTCTCCTCTCTCAACGTCTCGCAGCGACGCTTCAAGAATTCGCAGTCCATCTCCATCTGCTTCAGCTTCGTCCTGCGCCAAATTTCACCGGACATACTTTCTGTTAATTATACGTGCAAGAAAAAATATTACGTCCCGAAAAACGTAATATTTGCTCCACTGACAGTGATAGGCATATTTGCCTAACATATATATATATATATCATATATATATATATATATATATATATATATATGTTTCTTGTAAGTAAGTTTTCTGTTTTGTACGTAGTAACCATCTTGAATTATTATGTCTAACTGCATCAACAAATCGTTTAAAGAGACTCTACATTAGATTTAAGTTCTTATCTTTTAAAAGTCTCAAGAAGTCACCCCATCATCAAGAATATTAATTTGAAGTATATTCAAATTTATCATAGTGATTGCCCAAAGAACTCATTACCTACAAAAGGTTATCATTTGAGAAACTCATTGGGTATACGGTGAAATTACTGACTTGTGAAACTCGTTTAGGTTACTCGTGCACATAATCCACTTATAAATTATCAAGTTGTATTACTTGCTACATCATTAACTATAATGAGGCATGCCTATACCATTTAATATAATTGGATCAACTAGTCAATATTGTAGCTTCAAACCTAGGCTCCACTTAAATATATGAGACAAAGGTTAAGAGAAGATATAAATAAGCAGAAAAAAAATCACACAAATCTTCCTTTTATTAACTTATTTTCATTTAACTAGATCTTACTCTTCTCTATTTAAAGAGGCTTGGTTGGGTTTTCTTAAGCTAATTTGTTAAGAGACTCTCTGAAAAATAACATTTCTCTTTTTTTTTTGTATCTAAATATAATTTAATTATCTCGAGAAGTCAAATTTATTATCTACATATAATTTTATGTCTAGAATTCTCTTTGATGTGATTATTATAGATTTAATCTAAGACCTGTAATAAGAACTTGGATTTCCTCAAAAAATATGAGAGATTTCTTCATAATGAGTAATGAAACTACTATGTGACCTAAAATTAGTTGCAATACATAGAATCATTTGAGAAATATGATACAAAACATATTTAAGTGGTTTTCATGAGCCTTGTTTCTTCCTTCCCTTCAAGTGCAAGAAACAACTGGAAAAGATAATCCAAAACACATTTGAGCACTTATTGATATGTTGTCTATACAAGACTTGGAATCCCTAATCACTCAAATGACACTCACCCAAGGCTTTCATATAGGTTAATCATATTATACTCTTGTATTACAACATTCAAAGACATTGCTAGAGTTGGCTATTAATAACATTAACAAGAATTATTACAATCAAATAAATTTGAATAATTTTAAGTTTTTTTTACAAAATTTTGGATGCACATAGGATTCCTAATGAAATCCATGAGGTCAAAAGAACAAGTTGCATTGCATCAAGGATATGTTAGTCAACTAGTCACATTAAAAAAAACTTACCATGATAACCATCACATAGGTTTCTTTATGACATTCTTGCAATCAACAAATTAAGTTGCACCATAAGACCAAGGTAATTCAGCGGACAAGCCACAATAAAAATAAAGTAATCATGATAATTATGAGAAAACATTGGCATCTTATGAAACTTTTTTAGAAAAAGATGCATTATCTATTATTAAAGGCTGCCAAATTATATTCCTCTCTAATTGTCATTGTAGAGAAAGAAAACATCATTTGTGATATGAAGTACTTTCACATATTGTCATTGATGTCCGTTATGATGTTTGCTCTTGATTAAACTAAATATTACTTCTTGCACAAAGATTATGAGTATATGTAGAGTTGTCACTGATTGTAAAGCCTCAATAACAAGTACAAAGAGTTTGTCTTTATTGATCTAGAATGATGCCCCAATAAAATGTTGATGGAAGTGAATGAAAACAACCCTGTCCCAACATCAACAATTCACATTATAACATTAGTTTGAATGATTTTTGAAGAGTGAGATTTAATTTTCCAGGTGGCTAACCACAAGTGATTTTAATTGAGAGAGACGCAAGCTACGTCCAATTCATCATTTGTCCATGTACCAACCACCTTTAATATTTTAGACCAACTATAGACAAATTATCCTTACATCAACATCACTGCTCTAGTTATCAACTGTCAGATTATCAATAGTTTGGTTATTATAATGTTTCATGAATATGTTCTTTTTAAACATCTTCTTAGATCAATTAAAATTTATTCCTCCAAACTTTTGCCTATTATTAACCTCTTTTATGGGTTTTTTTGGTGAACACAATAATATCAGTCTATAACACAATATTTTCAATCTCACATAAAAAGTGCTCTTTGATATATTGCTATGATTGACTTCATCATAGTTGATAATCCAATTTTTTTTTTTATTGATATCTATTTTCAGCCAATGTTAAGCAAGTTCAAAGATCTCATGCAATCATATTGTAGTGAAGTTTTTAGTTTGAAGGTGAATATTTATCATTGAGAAGTTTTCTTTTTAATCTCAATCATGTTATGTAAAAGGTAGTTTCATCTCTAAAAAAGAAGTGTTACATCTCAAGGTAAAAAGAGGAGTTGACTATATATATAGGACATCTCTAAAGATTATCCCAAGCTTGCTTTCACATAAACACTTATTTTTATTCATAAAATATGGAATAACTACCTATCAATGATATGTAGTTGAATATTAAATATATCACTTATACAAAACTTAAAATATTTAGAATCATAATTTATGTCTTATGTCAATGTTTAAATATTAACAAATCAGCCTAGCCATTCAAATAGAAAAGCTAGCACAATAACTTTGGTGCAACCCAGTCACTGTGAGGTTTCTAAGCTATTGAAGGTGTGCTTCATACAAGAAGTATAAGGCCCAAATTAAGATATCTAATATCATTATTTAAGGTATTAGAATCTACTTAGAAATAAAAAAAAACATATGTTGACTTCACTAACATTTAATTAAGTTTGTTCCAATGATAACTACCAAACATAATGAATTGCCACCCTTGCAGAATTAACAATAAATTTCCTTATCAAAAACTTATTAAGGCCTTGTAAGGTTATCATTAATTCAAGTTGTATCTTATCAGATGAGATTAAAAAAACATTTCATAATCTAAACGTTATGAAACCAACAAAGGTCTAAGAATTAACCTTATATTTAAGTGTGCTAAAATGCTAGAAAAATGTCAGGATTTTAAGCATCATGATAAATCAATGAATTAAATCAATTTATAATCATAGACCAAGTTGCATTAGATTTATTTGGTACTTTTATCATCACTTCCTAACTTAATTCTTGGTATGAAAGAGAATTAGTTAATCAAGGTACACATAATTCACCTGGGTGTCACTAATCATTCATAATAGGGATTAGATCTAAGTTTAAAATTTTATTAACCGGTAAACTAACTTGAATCTCTCTTAACATGTAGCTCTCCTACTTTAAACTTACTCAAAACTTTAAGAGACACAAATCGCTTTATTTAGAATGTGGTGATTGAAAAATAACATTAATTTTGTATAAACTTCAAGATAATACTTTTAAGGACGACAACACTTATTACAGTGATAGACATCTCAAAATATTATTTCTTAAAAGTAAACGTTTATCATCTTATAGTTTGAGTAGAATTATCTTTTTCATTTGAGAATAATTTTTTTCACTCATCATATACACTTCCATGTAAGGAGCTAATAAAAAAAGTTGAGAAATAAAAGGGTTAGCAAGCAAGCCAAACTTAACATATTCATTATACTTTTTAGGGCATTTACATACATAAAACAAAATTCTTATGCATTTACATATTTAACACCTAAAATTTTGCTAATTACATGGATAATACTCTAATCTTCAATATCAAATAAAAAATATCGCTACTGCCAACCATTTAAAAACCAAATATGTCTTTTCATGCATAATTCATGACACCAACGCATTATAAATGTAATTTAGCTTTCAGATTTGTCAATTTAAAGAAATTGTGTAACATGTATGCAAATTCCCCATTTTTTCTTTATAGATTCAGCGTTTTTATAACAAGCTCTGTTACCTTGCTCGGCGGTTCTGAAACCAAACTTCTATCTGTCGAGGCCGAAGATTCAGCTGTTTGGCAAGAACAAACTTCAGCTTCTGAGGCTTTTGAACCCCAAAACAAAAAAAAAAAAAAAAAAAAAAAAGGTTTTTTATATGTCAGAAACTCTGAAACACCGAAAGAAGCTATACATTCTTCATTTAACTTATGCATACCGGGTTGAGTGTGCTCTGCTCCTTGAAACTCTCCTCAAGAAAAGCCGACTGTTCCTTAGAAAGTCGCAGCTTCTTCCTTCCCCTATCATTCTCCTCCTCATCGCTTCCCCTCGAAGAACCCCTCTCCGCCGCAACTCCAACGCCGCCCGCAAAGTTCACATGTAAAGAGCAAACCCCTCTTATCTGCGAAGACGAGACCGCAGCCTGTTCCTCTACCTCTTCTATCACCGGAGGCTCCAAATTCCCTATTTTAACACAAATCCAACTAAAAATATAAGCTAAATAAACACAGAGGTTGATAATTCAGCTACAAGTTTTGTTTTTTATTACCGTTCAACTGCGTTGTCTCCTCCAGGCGAGAGATATGCGCGAGAGGGAGGAGGTTCAGCTGCAACGGGGAATCAACAGACCATCTCCTCTCTTCCATCTTCCCCAACTCCTTATCTCCTCCTCTGTTTTCTTCCTCCGCTACTCTTTTCTTTCGTAACTCAATTCCAAATCCCATGCAAACTCCGAGCTTTATACTCATGCCATGCCTTTCGCCCCCGCAGCCGGCGATCTCTTCCGCAGGCTTCGCCGGCGGGTCTCCAAGGCTCAGCGTTAGGTCCATCTCGGACCAGACCATATAACAGGGGAGACCCTTCAATGGCTCCTGGAATTATATGGAGCGAGAGTGCGAGACCACACGCTTTGCGTGTGAGTTGAAATTTTATGTAGAATACTTCTGGAGATAATTAAGACTTTATTTCAGAAACAGTGAAATCAGATTTGTTCAGAATGAATGCATGTAAATTTTCGTTCGGACAAACAGCAACAGATGAATTTCTCCTAAAATTCTTTCGTAAAAATGATAAATTTAGGTTCTTCTCGAGTGGACGATTAGTAGCTATTAAAGTTTAAATATTTTGTTTTCGGAAAAAAAATAACTAATTTGGGGAGGATTATTTTAATGTTATTGAACAAATGTTTTGTGGGTGGGATAAATTGATGGCAACGAAGTCCGTCACCGTTTGCAATCATGGAAGATGATGACGGCAACAGCTGCATGCAAAGTGTGACGGAATGGGATGTCAGTGCTTACGAATTTATCTACGATTATGACGGGAAAAAAAATTAGTCAAGAATTTTGTAATTCAAGTGTAAACGGGATATATTCTATTAAGTTCATTTTTTAGATAAAGAAAATATGTAATAATTATGAGTTTTTTGCTTAGCTCCTATTTGTAGTCTAGCTCATCAGTGATTTACATGTGTATTTGAAAGTGGATGATTGTAGAATGTGTATTTTTATTTTAATTATGTGACATAAATAAATAAATGAAAATAAAAATTTAAGGGTCTAGATTTTTTATAGAAATGAAAAATAATTATGGGGATTGGCCTTCGTAAAATGATTTATTATATTAATTAAAATTATTAAATTCGTTTTTCTGCTTAATTGTAGGAATATACCCAAATTTGATTTCTTATAAATCTAATAAAGCTAGAAGTTATTGAGGGATAATGAAAATGGTTGAGTGATAGAGCTCGGATGATAATAACTAGAAGATGATGGTCTGAAAACTATTAGGATATTACGATGGTAGCCAGACAAAAATAGTTTGACAATGAAATCTTAACAATAGTCAAATGACGAAAGTTAATCGATGGCAATGAGACAATGATGCTTGAATGATATGAGTTGATGACAAAAGCCAAATATTAGACATCCGCCGGGGCTCTAGAAATCTTCAAATCTTTATGCATATTCTTTTTAACTCTCTTCTTTCGTGTAAAAAATATTGGCAATTTATTATTTTTTACGGTTGTATTTTAGTAAAAGTATCCAAATTCTCAAAACACTTCATGGAATGGTTTGTGTTGATTTTTTTAATCATAAATCTTCATTAAATATTTAAGTATATTTAGAAGTGAATGATCTTAGGTCGGTTAGAATTATTCTATTTAGGCACTCAATTTGCTTATAAGTACGCTAGATTTTGAGACTATTTGGTCTTACAATTTATATCCCAAAATTTCAAATCATGACTTATTTTAACTCATATTGGACCAATTTTGACATCATTGAATTTATCATATAAAAATTTTCAATTCAACAAAAAAGTTTCTTGACATTGGAGCACATATGATATTGAATTTAATCCTAGAAGTGTCCAATTAAATAGCTGAACTAAGATTATTTTTTGGTTGGATGATCTTTTTGTTTTTGTTATTGTATCCACATGCTAAATCTACATTTTTTTTAGCTCTTAATATATCATCTATCATAAAAAAATTTTTAATGACTCACCACGAAATATATTTTCTTACAAAGCTGATAATTACTATTGGATTCAATTCTATCAGTGGTGATAATCAAACACTACTTATGTTAGGTATGACTTAGGTACCTGATAAGGGACAGATGCTGGAGCGGAACGAAGCGAGCCAGCTGAGCGGAGCGAGTGAGCGAAATCGGGGGGAGTTTCGTTATTTGGGTTGGGGAACGCCATAGCGGTACGGTACAGGGGTAATTTTGTAATTATATATTTTGCGCTATGGTTATATATATATTATATATATATTGTAACCCTAAAAGGTGGTTTGTACTACTTTTCGTGAAATCTAAAGCTGTCGAGGACGTAGGCAAATTGTTGAACATCGTTAAATCTCTGTGTTTTCTTCTTGATTTCGAGGATTTCTGCGCTTTTTTTTCCTTAATTCCTCAACTTCTTAGATGACCCATATTTTCTCAATAAAACCTCAGGAACAAAAAAAAAAAAAAAAAAAAAAAAAAAAAAAAAAAAAAAAGGTAAAATATGAAAATGGGCAAAAAGAAACTTGGAATAATTTTATTTCTTCACATTAAGAATTTCTAAGTGGTGTCTCTCATTATGCCGAAATGACACTTTGGCTTATATTTATAAGATTTTTAGGTGCTAAAAGAGAGTTTATTTCGACTTAAATAAAAAAATGTCGACATATTCATTGTACACACATACACATAGTGATTAGAACCTGATAAATATATACATGGATCGCTGCTTAGACGAGTACTTTAAATGTTTTATTGAGTGAAGAAAAGGAGCACTCCCTAAATAGAATGGTTTTTCTTAGCCCCCAAATGAGTGTCTTTTGTGGTAGGTGAGTGCTCTCTAGACTATGTGAATACCTTCTGATTTTAAATCTACTGATAAGACTTATAGTGCCATTTGAGCTCGAGTTTTTTGAGCTTAGTGAGGGTCATCTAAGGAAGGGCAGGTGATTTGGGCGCTCAATATCATAAAGTAAAAAGTTAAAATAAGACGGCAAAGTGATTTATACAAAAGCTTGAAGTTAATGGAATGAAAAAATAAGTCATTTATGAGCGTTATTGTCATCACTTGAGGATCAACTTTTAAAATAAAGAAAGCACCAAATGTAAAATTTGTATGTTTGACTTGGTCTTTTAAGGAAAAATATTATTATACATCCTTACAAGAGTAGTATAAAATACCAAAAAAAATGACAAATTAAGAAAATCAAATAAAATAAAAATAAGGAGTGATAGAAATGTTAAACTTCTTCACTTTGGATCATCTTAAGATTACTTTAGTGGTGATTTTTCCTCCATCTCTCTCTTTTTCTTTAGACCTCTTATACCCCCTATTTTTACTCTCCTTTCTTTCCTATGACCAAGCCGGAGGGCCTTCATGTATCTTCATCAAGGAAGAATTTATTTTTTTTCCAATTCCGCTCAACCTCCCTCTTCTTCTATCATTGCAACCTAATAAGGTATGGGAGGACCTCCCACAATCACGAAATAAAAAGACCATTTTATAAACCATGTCTCAATCTTTTCTATTTTTTCATTAAAATTCTATCCTAGTAGGTGGAAAAATTGTGTATCCACAATGAAGAGGTTGATAAAAGTGCAAAATATTGGAATCAAAATGTGGTGGACTATGTTTTTAAGTAGAAGACCTTTCTATGAAAATCTTCTTAAAGTTATTAACATGTTATAGAAGTTGTGATGTATCATTGTACTATTATCACTCGCAAATGATTCTCTTGTTCAATTTTAATTGTGATCACTATAGGAAAATTGTAAATTAGTATCATAATTAGTGTCAGAATTATTTCCGGCGCAAAATTAATGACATATTAGAGTTTGTTAGCGTCGCCCCGCGGTTCCGCTTCCAAAAGAAACGACACAGGTGAGGAGTGTCGAGAAAAAGTCACTAATACGACACTATAGCATCGGCTATGACCGACACTAAACCTACTTATTAGCATCGACTATAGCCAACGCTAAGGCTGACACAAGAGCCCTAAAATAGAGCTCACACAAACCACAACTCTACTTCACGCCCTCTTCTCCTTCAGCTTCCCTTCGTCGCCTCCTAAGCTTCTCCTACGAATGCAGCTTTGATTCACCGCTCCAACCTTGTCTAAGGAGAGAAATTTTCTTCCACGCCTCCAAGCTTTGGTTTAGCATAAATTCTCATCTTTTTTCTCCTTGCAGCGGCGGACGATCTCTTAACATTGCTTGCCCTCGGGGTTTCTCCATGTGCAAGGGAAGATGGTAATCTCGATCCCAATTGTGAATTGAATTATTTTCGCTTTCCGGTATTTACATCGGTGACGGCAGTGGCAGCAATGACTACTCGGACTCCCGGACGGAGCTTGGCGGAGCGGTGTAGCGGACTTATCCTTCTTCAAAATTTCTGCTCTCATCCTGGGTGATACGGCACAACCAATTCTTTCTATCAATTTGGTGACAAAACAAATCTCCTTTAGAGTCAATCTTTTGAAGACTGAGCGAACTTGGGTGTGAGGAGTGGGTTTTTCCCTTTTTTCACCCCGTCCATTTTGGAGTATGGATTTCATGGATTTCCCTAAGTTTAGGTGTGACGTATATAAATACATAAGAAATTTGTGCTACGTAAGAAAATTTGGGTGTGAGATATGTAAATGCATAAGAAAATTGTGGTATGTATGTAAGTATGAAATTTAGGCGTGAGATATGCTAATGCATAAGAAATTTGTGCTGTGCTATGTATGTAAATATGGAATTTAGGTGTAAGATATATAAATGCATAAGAAATTTGTGTTATGTATGTTAGTATGAAATTTAAGTGTGGAATATGTAAGTAAAAAAGAAATTTGTGCTATGTATGTCAATATGAAATTTAGGTGTGAGATATGTAAATGCATAAGAAATTTGTGCTATGTATGTAAATATAAAAAATTAGGTGTGAGATATATATGTAAATGCATAAGAATTTGTGTTTTGTATGTAAATATGACAATTTAGGCGTGAGATATGTAAATACATAAGAAATTTGTGCTATGAAATATAAATATGGCAATTTAGGTTTGAGAGATGTAAATACATAAGTCATTTGTAATATGGAAGTTTAGGGTGGAGTTATGCTGATGTTGATTTTTCTTCGATTAAATAGCGCTCAAAATTGAGAAAAATCGTGGCCTAGAAGTGGATCTGCTCCTAGGCGCCCATTTCGGTTCATTGGCGCCACCAGGGTGTTGTCTAGGTGCAACCCAGGTGGCGCCTACTTTCCAGGGGCTGGGGAAAGTTGCTGCTTTTTTAGCTGTTTGGGCACCTAAGCGTCAAAAAATGGTGGTAGATTTCTCTAACCTTGAGTTTTAAGCCCCTTAAAGGCTGTTTTGGGTGCCTAGGCACTAGAAGCAGGTGTCTAGGAGCCGATCTAGCCCCAAAAA